GGGGGTTCAAGATTCAAGATTTAAGATTCAAGATTCAAGGCCTAGAAAGAAGTTCTTGAATCCTGTATTCAAAACTTGAATCCAGGATCCAAAGTTTGGAATCCTGGATTCAAGAACTTTTTTCTAGGCCTTGAATCTTAAATCTTGAACCCCCTCTCGTTTGTAAACGTTTGCAAACGCTATTTCTAGATTTTGTGCTGAGTACACTGTGGAAGGAGCATTCATAAACTTCCTGAACGCAAACGTCTGCAATGGTAAAAGCAAACATCAAATACTCAAAACATGCACGTGTATTTTTTGTTTTTGGCAGTGTTCTAGTACAATAAACCTTCAAATAACGCAATGTTTTTTATTTTTGAATCTCAACACCAAAAAATGTGTCCTTTCATTTGTTATTGTTTTTGAATTGGGAAGTGCTTTGTTTTTTGTTCGATGTTTTATATTCAAACAAAATGCATAAAACACTGTAATCAAAACCAACAGAGGTCATTTGGGGGGGTACCATATATCAGGAAGGAATCGGTTCCGGGGTCAACCCCCCCGCACAAAATTGCACCCACTTTGAAGCACCTGAACTGCTGGTGCTGTCGAGCAAGTGCCCCGATCTGCCACCCCGGGAAAGTGCCCCGCAACTTCAGTTCTTGGGCTCACTCCCGGTTTTCAGCGGTTTTTCGGGGTGAGCTGGTGAAAGTGCAGATGGTGCACCATCCGCCTCATCCAGCAAAGCCAACTCGATATCATCTCTAAGCCTCAACGGATTGGGCTGAGAGAAGGTGGGAGAGAAGATACTATGAGTCAACACGGTTCTTTTTGCAGCGTTCTGTGGGTTTCTGATTTGAATGCCCAAAGCAGCCAAAGTAGGAGCACCCTAGCCTATTCCCTTTGTCCAGCCAGGGGGAATGAGGCTGTTTAGCAGGTTTCCAAACCTCCGACATGGACCAGCCTATGTAGGGAATGGTTTGTGAGGACATGAGGAGAGTCACAACCTGTGGTCTTCTTGTATCTCAATTGTCCCATCGATATTCATCGATCATCTATCCTAGATCTATCCGTATCTTCAAAAGCTTGCGCTTTTATCAGACCGCCCAAAACAGCTCTGCAAGCCTTTCAATCTTTATTCATAAACAACTCCTTCGGAGCTTTTGTGGGCGACTCCAGAAGCGCGAGAAACACACCAAAGATGCTCCAGAACCGCCCGTCGCCCCCCGCGGTCGGTTCTGGCGCTGAGGCGCAGTAGGCGTGCGAATCCCAGCCTTTGCCGTTCGCCACCTGGACGGGGGGATTTCGGTGGGCCCAGTTGGACCCCCCCCCAACCCACTGGCCCGGCGCCAGGCTCTTCCATCACTGAGCTTCGTGTCCAGCTTGAGGGACACTCTCACTCTCAGAAGGCTGACATCGCTGAAAACTGTGCATCTTCAGCCTGAAACCCAATTCGGGGCCGTACAGATCCCATCAATCAAACCTCCCCAAAAACAACAGAACAACACAAGCCCAAACATGCTCAAACACACCCAAAACAGCTGAAATTGGTGTGTCTCTCAACCGCTGCCTCTGGACGAAGCTTCCGTTCGGCTAAGATCTACTTCACTAACAGTTGCAACGTCAAATGGAACAAGACACCCCTGCCATCCCCTGGCCCGGTTTTTGGGTCTGCCGAACCCACGGGGTGTCGCCGAACCCGGAGGCCTCCCGACATGGTGTCGCCTGTTGGGACACCGACCCGTCGAGCCCACGACCAGTCACCCAGTCGTTGCTGCCCGGAACAAGCTCGTTGACTGACCGGAAGACCGACCGACGCCCAACGAGACTTGTGCCGCTTCTGCCCGGACCGTGGTCTCTATTGGTCGGCCTGAAAGGATGTTGGTGAAGTCCAAATGGCGATCCAATTCATAACCTTGCCAGGTTGTCAGTCATCTCTAGAAACAAAGAAGCTGAAGCTGCTGCTTTGCTGCTGATTCTCAGTGTTTGTTTCATAGATGACGAACCCCAGTGGTGGAAGAAGTGCAAAGAACATGACTAAACACATCTTCACAAGTGACAAAGGCACACAAATCAGATCTGCAACCCCCCTCGGTTTTGACTCTGCGTGGCATCATCAACGAGCAAAATGGGATACACGCGTTCTAATGTTCTAAAGACTTTAAAGACGTGTTCACACAATGACCAGCTTGGCCATGTAGTGAAAAGCCATCGACACCATTAGCCATCGACACCATAATGCACATTCTCTCAAATACCTGTTGCCGCCCAGAAACGATCCTCGAGATGGCTGATTCCCAAGGATCCTGGAGGTGGGCAGGTGTTTTTTTTTGCTGTGCGCCTCTCCCGAAAAGAAACACCAGCTAGACATCCACGCCCCCCCACTGTGGCATGCTGTGACCGTCACTGCGAGGAGAGCGGTCTGACCGTCGATGGTGTTTCCCGGAAACAGCAATTTTTTTGCCCACGATATTGAACGATTCAGATCAGATACACCTGTCGTTCATGGGCTATCCATATCCTCCAAAAGATCCATTCAGCACATCCAATCATCGAACATTCATGCGAATGGAGTTGCAATGAGTTGTGTACTGGCTCATGACCGAATCGCGGGGAAACCCTAAACCCTTCCGTTGCGCGTTTCCGTTGCACGAAGAGTGCACTCCGCAGCAGCGGCCCCCCTACCAGTCCTAAAACTTCTTGTATGGCGTCATTCGAAACATCAACCTCATCCTTGTCTCTTGGATAGAGCACCTCAAGCAGAGGTGAATGGTGGTGCAAAAACTGTGCTTGCTTGAGATCTTTTCCTGCAACTAGGTATTGCAACGAAGGGACACATGAGGATTGATCACTCACGTTGGAAAACTCTACAACCTTAAAGCAGGACGCAGGACTGCTTGACGGTTTCACATCCATCTGTCTTGCACGCCTGGGATTTTTTTGGGTGCTTTTTGCTGGGCCAGTTATGGCATGTAGTATGAGATATGAAAAAAAACAAGATTTTGCGCACATGCTGGGCGGCGACACACCAAACTCAAACAACATCATGGGCCGGTGTTTAGATGTTTGTCAGTTTGGCAAAGACATGCGTACTACTTACTTTAGCTCCCACATCATAAGATTAGTATATTCTCTTGTCATCAACTGCAACACCAGTCTCAGCCAAGTAATGCTGATGTGCTGATATGCTTCCTGACTAAAACGTATGCCAGTCAGAAGGGCATCTTAACGCCACGCTTTCCCATTTTCTTGTCAAGCAGCATTGTCGCGCAGACTTCCCAAACAAAGGTAAGGCTGCTGTGGAAGAAAGAAGCACCTGCCACTTTCAGAGAACACCAACCCAGTTCGGTCAACTTCTTCTGCGACGGATCCGTCGGATGTCGGATGTCGAATGGCCGACCTGCATGAGCAGACCTTCCAAAGTTCTGGTGAATCTCGACATCTTCATCTACAAGTGCATCTTCATCCCTTTTGATACCAAATCTTCATCTTCAAACGGGTCCCATTTGATTCCTTCACGATGCATCTTAGTGACCCGTACGATCCATCGTTTTCAGCCGTTGCTGAAACGGACCGACCCCAGAAAACGCTATCGACCGGCCTCTCCAATCGGGTTCGTCGAATTGTGCCTGTGGGAAGGCGACAAAGAGGTAAAGGAAATAAGACAAGGAGGTTGACTTCTAAAGGAGGTCAAGGAGCAACATCCACTGCTAAAGGAATAAGACAATCAAGTTAACAGTGAACAGTTCTTGGGGTAGACTTGGTCGAATTGTCCGGAGCGGTAGACTTCGAATGGTCTTTGCACATGCCATACGTCCTGAAGCATGTCCAGAAGCTCAGCTTCTTCGTCTCTAGGTGTTGGTACACGTACTCCTGTATGTACATGTTCATCTATAGAGAGACTCACGGTTCGACCCGCTGGAAGGGGCCCGGGAAATCGACTCAAAATCTGCATGCCATATCCTCACTCATCCTCATTCCCTACACCCCTTCTAAAACAACTCCCTCAAACACCCGTAAACCTGAATTCAGTGCTATTATAGTGCTTAGTGCTTATATTCCGTTTTGTTATATCTTCCATCCCGGGTCGGACCATCCCTCCTGACCAGCTCCTCGGTCACCACCCGAGTTCACTCGCCCACCCGAGTTCACTCCGCCTGAGCCGTGGCTCCAAAGGCCGCCGATGGCTCGAAGGAGCGAGGACTTCCCCGTGCCGCTGGTGCCTTCGATCAGCAGCGACTCCCCTGGCTCTCCAGCGGCGAGGGCAGCGCTAAAAGGGCACAGCTTCCACGTTTTGAAAGGTCAAAGGAAGTCGGAAGGGGTTAGGTCGAAGCGGCTTAGTGGTGAGATCCGCCACAGGCCACTATAGTGTCCTTTTTTTCTCGCAAGGGTGGTTCAACTGCGAGAGAAGAGAGCTAGGTATAGCCAAAACCCTCTGAAACCACGGACTCTGCGATCATCGCCTTCAGTGTGGCAGGATCTTTGCAGCAAGCACTGGGAATGCGCAATTCATTGTGGCAGGTTTTACCTACCAGCGGCGCGCACTTTTCACCTGAGTCAGAGCCAACACATGAAAATTGCAAGTGGTCTTTCTTCCAGCCCTCAACGGGCGGTTTAAATGAGCCCGTGAAGAATCGTAGAAGCTTGTTCAATTGCCGCTTCACGGGAGGCAAGTCCTGACCCTCCTTCTGCAAGTCGTGTAAGACTTCAATGATCACAGCTTTCTCATCGCTGCTACAAGAAGGAAATCCCCACCAAACTGCCTCCAACATTTCGTCCACATTGACCTCTGAGCTGCCTTCTATGAGATGGGAGAGTTTCCTCCACTTCCCATCCACAAGCTTCCAGAGTCCAGAGGTGCTGGGGATCACTTCCCGAAAGCCCTGCACAATGTACTTCACCGGCTCTTCAAAAGCCTTCCAAGACTGTTCACATCGGCGTTCCGTGAAGTCTCGCGCTGCGCTGAAGGGAACGGTGTCGTCTGCTTTCGCACCATCTGGTGCAAGAGAGCCCCATCCCAACTAGAGAGCATCCCACATCATTTCATCCCGGAAGATTGGCTTGTAGCAACTGGCCTTTGAAGGGGTGAGTTGCGTGCTTACCAGCAGCAGTTCTGGTTAAAGTCTTGATCGATGGTAAAGGCTCAGACCATCTCAGACCCAAGATTAGGGGAATGTTGTTGCAACTTCGCCTTCACTAGCAAGGGTGGGGAGTCTTGTTGTCGTTTCATCGAATCCAGTGCTAGCAGGGAGGGATTGCTTCAGCAAGTGTGCTTGTTGGGATGGGATTGGAAGAGCGGTTTAGAATAGTTTATAGAAGTGCAAGGTAGCATGTCAAAGCACAAGAGGGTGAGTTGCCGAATCCGAAGAAGTCCTGTATTGTCCACTTTTGTAGGGAGTATCGATTGCAATGGTTCTGAAGTAGGCATAATCATATCAAAATCCAATCAGATCTGACAATAGGAGGTTTCGCTAAAGAAAAACGAGCATCAAACAGATTCAACAAGCATTGAAACTGGCCTGGGTGTACTTGCCTGTGTGGTCCTTAACTTCATCGCAGCTCAGCCATCCGTAGCTTTGCAGCTCCTGCGGGCTACGTCGCATCCATATGGCCGCCAGCTTCTCACAGACAGGGATGGTGTCCTCCTTGTTGTAGAAAGAAGTGGTTTGGGGCGTGACCACATAACCGGCCACCAAGCTCTGGTAAATGATACTGTGGAGACCCATTGGCGCGAAACCCAGGTCCGTGACGATGTGAGCCCGAGCCAGCCACTTCCCCAAAAACTGGAAACGCACGCGGGCGGCAGAAGGCAGCTTCTCTGCGTTGTCTTTTTCGCCGAGAAACCTTTCATATGCCGAATCGTAAGCGTCATAGGCAAATTTCAACATGGATCCGATTCTCCCGCCTCTCCCAGTCTGTCCTGATGCTTCGACCTCTTCCGATGCTTCGATCTCTTCCACACTGATGGGCACCAGCTCTCCAGATGGCAAGGCTTTGAGCAAGTATTGCGGTGTGCCCTCATCTCCGCACTTGCCACTGCTGATGCACTGCAAGCCTGTCGTGTCTGCATGGCCAGCTGGCAGCACGATGGACTGCAGGACAAGCGAGAGCCACTCTTTGCGCAAACCCAAAGCATCCACTCCTCCCTCGTTTGTGAAGTTCACCGTGAAGAAGAAGCCGGTCCAGTTTGCACCCCATGCTCTTGGATCTTCATATTCAAGAATGTTTCGAGTTTGTTCGAAGATGGTGGTGCTGGAGTTCCGGTGGAGCTGCACCTCGCACAGGTGGTAGCATTCGGTTTGCTTACAATTCGACAGTGCGAGCCTGAAGATGACATCTTCTCTAGTGCCCGCGGAAGACTACAAAAAGGCAATTTTTCCGGAAGTTTGGCTGTGACACCGACACGCAGTTCATGTGTTTTGACAGCTCGTGTCCCTGGTTCTAGTTTGCTGGCACTGACTAGAACTTGCAGCAATACCTGCATATACCTGCTGCAGTTTCTATTTCTAGGTCTGAATGCCGTAGTCGTGCGGCAAATAGTTACATGTTTCGCATCAGAACGCATTGAACGCACCCAGTCTCAGTGGAATGATTGATCTTGCATGCATGCTCTGTGGTTTTGGGTGATCATGAATCATTAGTTTCGGATTCCTTTGTGCTTGCCTTGCACCACCAGGTGCGAGCAAAAGCAGCCTACAGTAGCCTGGGAGATACATGAAAAGGAATTGGGTTACATATGGTCACATCAAACATTCTCTGAGCACTCGGTTGAGGACAAAAGCCTGACATCCAAACTGTTGTAGCCTTTGTTCGGGTGTGTGTTCAAGTGCTTCGCCGCGCGGCCCCGCAGCACGAAAACGCTGGCGCGAGGGTAGCTGGACCTGCTTCGTCAGGGCTTCACGACCCAATTCTAGCGCTTGGCAGTGTTTGGTACTCGAATTCACGGCCTTGTTTTGGGGAGCCCTGGCCTTGATGGCTCAACCAACTGCGCAGTGCTTCTGGTGGGCTGCTGTTGCTTTTGGTGGTAGTGGTTAGGGTGTGGAGCTTTGGGGAACTTTAGTATCTTTAGTTGCTCATAGTTGTTCATTATTACCACGTTCCAAAATAAACCTTCCACGCTGCTTCTGAAAGGCTTCCGCACGGAGGTTTGATCTCACACACGCAGTTTTTAACATGTTCTGTGCTACAGTCACTTCCACAAACCTTTCACAACTGCGGTCTCAAGACTTCACACTACAAGAAACTGGACTAGAAGACTGGAAAACTATATATATAGATAAATATACGTACAGTAAATCTGTCATCAAAACATTTTTTTGAAACCACCATCTACTAGAAACTTTCAAGCACGACGACTACGCAATCGTATGCAATCCTTTTTCCGAATACATGTTGACTCTGTGTTCTCCTGTTCATCTCCCAAACACAGGGGCTCGCCTTATGAATGAAACATTTCATCAAATCCACGGTCGGCATCCACACTTTAGGTGGTTTGAATGACTTCACTGCTTCCTTCCGCATCTCCTCTTCGTCCTCTTCCTTCAGCTCCAAGGCCATGAACCGTTCGTCTGATACATGAGCCATTTGATGCACACGGTGTCCGGAGGCACCATGTAGTGCCACATATGCGATCATCCAAAGCAGCAGGCTTTGAAGGACAGCCATGACCGCGTGATGACGCACAAACAGATATATTGTCAAAAAAAACACAGAAATCAAGATTGAACCAAACTTTGGCGGACTGTGAAGTGTTTCTAGCATAGTCCTCACATCATCGCAGAGTTTGCCTGCACTTTTTGCTCTAGACTCCGAAGGGTCTGATCATCAAGTTTCCAGGAACGCAATGGCACACCTCAGGGGACAAGCCCCTGCTTAGCGAAAACATTGCCCAAATGATCCGGGACCGCCGGGACCACAGCTTTTAGCAGAGGGAGATCGTGGAGACCATGGGTCTTCAACACCGTGGCGTAACTTGCAGGCTCTTGGTTAACTAGACGACGGGTGGCCTGGGAGAACTTCCAGATTCCAGCTTCCAGCGCCATGTGTCGACGACAGTTACACCCTTCGGCGCCTTCCACCGTCAACTTCGACGACACTTTGAAAACTACATTCGCATTTCGCCCCATGTTTGTGCGCTCGACACGCATGATCTCCGCAGAGGGTTCGTGCTCACGCAAAATTTGCCTGTCACCTGCACGTCCGAGCACTCGACGCGCACGATCTCCGCAGACGGTTCATCCGCCCAAGGCAAAATTTGTTGCAATTTGCCTCACGTTCGAGCACTCGACGCGGCAGAGGGTTCATCCAGCACAGCCGGAATTTGCATTTCGCCTCACCTTCGAGCACTCGACACGCACGATCTCCGCAAAGGGTTGCCTCCGCCCAGGCCAGAATTCGCCACATGTTTGTGAGCACTCGGGGCGGACGATCTCCGCAGAGGGTCACGCTTTGCAAGCCCTGTCCGCACAGGCCCCCGCCCAAGAAAGAATTGATAAAGAACCAAGATGTGTCATGCACGCGCGAACAAACGTATGATATGCTTTAGTCTATTTTTTTTTAACTTTTGCATCTGTCTTTGCTGAAGCAAGACCCCAGCGAAAGTCATACATGTTTTGCATGTGATTTTACTTCAGCCAGATCCCAGCGAGAGTTGTACTTGACTTTGCATATGACTTTACTTAAACAAGATCTCACCGAAAGTTATCCAAGCAAGATCCCAGCACCAAAGCAACCAATCCACCCAAGCAAGATCCCAGCACCAACGCAATGCTAGCGTAGCAGCAGATCTACATAACCATACCTGCAAACTGCAGATGTACAAGTGCAGCTATGTAAGTCGCAAATGTATTACCACCTCCGTAGCAGCTCTGGAAGACCACACCTGCAAGCTGCAGATGTGTATATATATATATATTAGATATATATATATAAATATATAATATTATACAATATATATATAATATATAAATATATATATATATGTCAATGTATAATATATATATAATATATATGTACTTAGACCATACATACAAAGGCGGCTATATAAGTCCCAAGCGTATTGATGCAAATGTGTTATGCAAAAGATTTCTACAGAAGAACCCTTCGCAACGCTCCTGGGACAAAGAGCACGGATCGGAGATTTGAGTTGAGCACCCACGAACCACTTGAAACCACGTGAAAAAGGATAAACAATGAGTACAAAAGCATCCATCCATGAACGAGTTGTTTTCGACCAGAGAGTTGGACGGATGACTTCTGGTTTGCAACCATACAGCCACCTCCGCATGAGATCCTGTCCAAAACATGCGTGCGATCAATCTGGCTGAACTACTGAAATAGATCGTGGACCGAAAGTAAGAAATGCAAACCAACGTCTCTAACGTCATTGTTCTGTGAACTTTGAGCTGAACATGTATCAAGATTGCAAATGCCTAAGAATACTTACACAAATGGCTGTGAGTCAGATCTGGGTCACGACTCTGTCATTTTTTCAGCTGCGGGGCCTTTCTTCACAGTCAAGGAGAGCTCGTGAACTATGGGCTGCTGACAGTTGAAAGGCGGATACAAAGTGACCTGAAGACAAGCATCAGATTGGAGTGTAGGTGTCTACACAGTACGTGCAGTATAAACATTGAAAAGAACAGAAGCAAACATCCGAAACACCGCTTTCACGACTCCTGATGGTTCTCTTGTGTGGAACGGCCTGTTCTGGCCATGAGACATGTGCCTGCTTTCACAGGATTTCACAGGCACCACTGCTGAAGTTGGAGTGTTGTCAATGTCAAATTCACTATGTAAGCAACTGTTACTGTAGATGGTCTGTCAAGACTCCCAGCGGCCCTTTGAACATCCCAAACAAAATAGTGTGCTCAGTTTGCTTCACATTCCGTTTTGGAGTTGACCTCTTTGACCCATTCACTCACTTTTCTATTTTTGCCTGTGTCCCTCCTGAACTCTCGAAAAAAAAAAAACATAACAGCTAGACCTGTGGTGCCGCACTGGACCTCCCATGACGCTCTGCCGTCCCTTTCCACGACACTGACTCCGCTCAGTCAAAGCGGCAGAGCAAAGCTGCAAGCGTGTCGGGGTGGTGACCTGAAAGCGCTGCTCCGAGCGAAGTAGCGATTCCACGGCTCCGAGCGTTCTAGAACCTGTTTTTTTCCGAGGAGAAGAAGCCAAGAACGCCATGCAGATCTGAGGACGAAAACGGACTTGAAGATGTTCGATTTGAAGGTGAAACCAACTTTGGACGTTGTTTTAAATGAGGTTTCCTGGTGGAAATCAACACGGTTTCGATGTCGCCGCTTGGATTTTTCAATCTTTCAGGACCGCTGCTGACAAATGAGGAAAACGGGGCGAAGTGAAACATTCGAAGACCAGGAGAACTCACAAGGATGCCGTCGAAACCCGTTCTTTTTTTTTTGCAATTTGACCCACCAATTCTCCATGGTACAATCCATGCACGTATTGTCTGAAAGCTTCCAAAAAACCTCAAAAACCTCTGTTCAACCAGCAAATCGGTCGCCAAAGCCTTGACCTGAAAGCAAATTTCATCAAGGCACCGATGTAAAATGGACGGATTCGTTCGAAGGACCGGAATTCGCCGAGGTCACCAATGGACCCTGTATGGCTCACCATGTTAGCGAGTGGTGACATGAATGGTTGTCCTGTTGTTATCAAATTCGCATCCCCCCCACCAAATCGCTCTCTTTCTCTCTCTGTCTCCCGTCCTTTTTCGCATCCCTTCAATGCGGTCGCCTCCAACTCGACCAGTGTGACAGCGGTTTTCACAAACTCCTCCAAACCAAACAAGGCTCTCCCGTCGTGCAAACTCACTCTGTTTGCCCTGAAAACTAGAAAACAACCGAGGAGAGTTGTCACGCACAAATGAAAAGGAGGGTTGGTCAGCTGAATCATTAAGGTAAAGTGACAAAACCATCTTCTATTATACGTTGCATGTATTCTGTTTTTGAGGACACGGACTCTTGAGTGAGCAAAGGTTTAGCGAGCACCATCACATGCCGAAGTCACCGGTATGCGACGCGTATCCCTGAAATATAAACAGCCAAAAAAAACGAACATTAGAGAAGGTCAACGGCTCTGGTGGAGACGGTCTAACAAAGGGAGAGGGGGTGGAGTCGTACAGCAAAGGATGCAAAAGGCAAGCAAGAAAGCAAAAACAAGTACAGTAGGTCCTGGGCAACCCCACAAAGTTGGCCCGGCAGGAATTGTCAGCGGCACGAAAATGCTACTGCCCGCGCTGGATACAACAAGATGTCCTCAATTGAGGGTGGTTGAAGGACACAATCCCAGCTCGTATGAGTAGTACACCCACCTTGAGCCAGGCCAAATCTGGGCAGTCACAAACATAGGGCTGACATGCAAGCTCTAGCGTGGCGCCGATTGCTTAGACCATGATGCTGCAGCCAGTATACCTGACCCGAGGTCAAATAAAACCCAAGAACCGGGCGAAGGTGTGTCTTGCTCCTCTTGAAGTCAGTGGAAATGGTGCAGGCGGGCAGTGGTTCAACAACCTGTCGGGATCTCCCGGGTGAAACCAGCGTGAAGTACGGCCTGGCCCCGATTGCTAAACCGGACATATGACCTGCCGGTCGCTCACCACAACTATACAAATCAACCAAAGCTTGACGGAGCTCTCCACTGCCTATCTACCGAAAAGTCTGGTAGAAAGGCGTTGAAGAGGTTCAATCAGTTGTCAGCCCCTTCTAAAGCGTGTTGCCAATCATGCATCATTGGCTTCCATTTTGCGGTGCCATAATACCTATTTGAGAAATTTTGAGTACAAGCATTCCTACGGCCCAACCCTGTCAGCAGGATGAAAGCGTCATGGTCACTCTTTGATGAAATGTCATTGTAGAGGGTGGGGTGTGCTTGACAACGGGAATAAGCTTGGAAGAACCAAAAGACGGGTCCAGGGTGGAACCGCATGCATAGGTCTGCCGTGTGGTTTGCAAACCGGATTTCTCGATCCACTGGCCCGCCGCATGCCAAACGCAGATCATTGGCAGGCTCCCAATCATTGGCAGGCTGTATGGAATCTTGGTAGATGATTTGGTAGATGATGTAGTGCGCAGCTGGCTACTGCAAGCCAACTGGATATTGGATCTCCCACATCGGCTTCGGCTCATGTCCGTAACTGCTGGATAGACTTGTTTGCGTCAACTGCTTGATGCTGGACAAAATGGGCAGAAGCAAGGGGGTGTTGGGCTGAGGGGGTGGAGTGGCTGATGCCGAACCGCCTTAGCATCTCAGGTGTGGGCGCTTCACCCTCCATGACCATTGGATTGGGTGTGGGGCATAGCTTTTCACCATCCGATTCTTCTCATAGTGTTGGGTACTCTAGTGACTCTAGTGTGAGCTCCTCGCAGTATCACTCCTCGGCTCATGGCGGAGGTGCATACTGAAGTAGAAACCTGCTGGCCGTTTGGATCCCTGAGCAGAGTGGTTGGCATCATCACCTCGTCGCCTTAATCAGTCTGTCCTGCCACTCCATTACGGCACAGTGCTTTTGAGCGCACTGTGTGGACATGACTGTCGTCAAGGCAGCAGCCGCAGCTCTGTCTGATCCGGTTCCGGAGGAAAGGAGTCATGAGTAAAACAATCTTCCACAGAAAAAGACGGCCCTCCCACCAAACAAAAACAGT